AAACACACATATGGTCCCATGAAACAGAATAGAGAGCCCAGAAATAAATGAATGAATATATAGATGATCAACTGCCTGTCCAAGAGTGCTAAGGAGACACAATGAGGAAAGATAGTTTCTTCAATAAATTGTACTGGGAAAACTGGATATCCACATACAAAAGAACAAAATAGGCTGGGTGAGGTGGCTCACGCCTGTAATCCCAGCACTTTGGGAGACGGAGGAGGGTGGATCATGAAGTCAGGAGTTTGAGACCAGCCTGACCAAAATGGTAAAACCCTCTCTCTACTGAAAACACAAAAATTAGCCAAGTGTGGTGATAGGCACCCGTAATCCAAACTCCTTGGGAGGCTGAGGCAGGAGAATCATTTGAACCCGGGAGGCAGAAGCTGCAGTGGGCCGAGATCACACCACTGCATTCTAGCCTGGGCAACAGAGCAAGAATCTGTCTAAAAAGAAAAAGAAAAAGACTAACTACGATATGACCCACCAATGCCCCTTCTGTAAATACACCCAAAGGTATTGAAATCTGTATCTCAAGGAGATAGCTGCACTCCCATGCTCGTTGCAAGCATTGAACATTATTCACAATAGCTAAAACATGGAATCTGTTCTCTCAACGAATGAAAGGATAAAGATAATGTGGTAAATGTGAATATATATAATGGACTATTATTCAGCCCTTAAAAATAAAGAAATTCTTCCATTTCTGATAATATAGATAGAGCTGGAGGACTTTATGCCTAGCAACATAAACAAGACACAAAGAGAAATGGTGTATGACCTCACTTATATGTGGAATCTAAAATAGCCAGTTTATAGTAGTAGAGAGTAAGATGGGGTTACCAGGGGCTGAAGGAAAGGGATAATGGGAAAGTATAAGTCAAAGACTACAAAGCTTCCATTATGCAAAATGAGCAACTCCTAGAAATCTACTGTATGGCATAATTCCTATAGTTAATACTATACTTTCTTTAAATTCATCAAACAGTCCTACCAAGATTATTGCCTTTTATGAGGTGAGGGGACAGGGTCTCACTCTGTTGCCCAGGCTAGAGTGCAGTGGCACCATCTCCACTCACTGGAACCTCTGCCTCCCGGCTTTAAGTGATTCTCCTGCCTCAGCCTCCCAAGTAGCTGAGATTATAGGTGCCCACCACCACAACCAACTAATTTTTGTATTTTTAGTAGAGATGGGGTTTTACCATATTGGCCAGTTTAGTACTGAACTCCCAACCTCAGGTGATCCACTCACCTCAGCCTACCAAAGTATTGGGATTACAGGTGTGAGCCACCATGCCCAGCCTCATTAGTGCTTTAACTGTATGTTCAAAATAAAACATAACTCTAAACAAATAGTGAACTCCAAACATATATATTCTGAAGTACTGTTTCCAGGAGAAAGTTTTTGGCTATCTAGAAATTACTTCAAAATACATCAAAAAATAAGAAGGTTTTATTGAGAAATAAGTGGAGGAATATGTGACAAAGCAGGAATAGTACAATGTTAATGGTAGAATCTAGGTAGTGAGTATATGAGTGTTCACTGTAAAATCCTTCTACTTTTTCTATTTGTTTGAAGTGTTTCATAATAAAATATTGGGGGGAATTACATGTCATGTCTGTTTCACAGAGAAAGACTTTCTATTTTCATACTAAATCTTTTTATGGTTTTATGTCAAATTCTGCCTTACTGCTTTAATTTGAAGTATGCCGAAGTATATATCATGTGCTATATAGTTCATGTGTTATATAGTTGATGCATTATATAGTTAGTACTTAGATAGTTCATGTATTAATCCAGCCAGATAGAATCTCTTTGAAAAGATCTATCTGACTGGGATGTAGATATTAGAGATGGACACACTTGACTAATTAAGCTAATCTTAGGAAATCAATAAGAGGCCATCTAATTAAATTACAAATCTTACCTTTGGCTATGCATGTCTAGATGTAAGACGTGACTGAGAAAAGAATCCTAAAATAAATCTCAAAGCATCAGGGCAGAAAACTTCCAATTAACATAGCAGACTATTTATTACACAAAAAATAGTTCAAGCTAAACCCTTGAGGTTTGGAAAATCCATGTCAAAATTTCACATTTGATTGTTGTTTTGTAACATTATAAAAAAGAAAATGGGAGAAAAATAATTCATATATTTGTTCCTGTTAAAGTAAGACAAACTTGTGAGTGACTTTGGAGGGGCCAGTAATCCCAACATTTACCATGGAATTGCCTATGTTGGGAGAGAATCTCGTTTCTCTTCACTCTTGGGTAATGTCAGGTTTAATAAATTTCCTTAACTTAAAGAGACCCACAGGTCCAAACCCTGTGACCAAAATAAATCAAGTAATAGGAAATTATAAATTGGAATTTGAAAAGTTAAAATGCAATCCATAAAATTAATTCCATACTTCCTCAAGGTGGTTTTCTTTGACATCAAGTTCACTATAATATTAGTAAGTCCAAGGAAGCCTGCTAGAAAAAAATTATACAGTGGTAATATTTTTATTCTCTTGGCATAGTGATTATCAAGCCCTACCAAAGAATTAATTATTTTTTCTGTTTCTATAGCAAGGACTAGGTTAAAAAAAAAAGGTTCTATGTCCTCCAAAAGATATTGAATTTCAAAATGAGTGATTTTTTTCTAGATCTGTTTTTATTTGAATATTAACTTCAACTGCAGATTTTTCTTTCTTTGTAAACCTCAACTTCTTACTGTTTGAAGATCTTAAAATCTCAAACTATTTTTACAAGAAAAGACCACCACCCTTGTTCAAAGATTAATGCCCAATTACCCAAAGTGCTAATGTTATATGTGGCATATCTAGATAAGAAATAAAAACCTGACTAGAGCAGGATTCTGTAAAAAGTGCTGCTTTTCTGTGTCTGCACAAGATGCCTAAATAGTTAGTTGGGGGACACAAAATCTAAATGTCTCTCTATAACAAAACCTGTAGATGTTCTTTATATAAATGACTTTTTTAAAGGATTTGGTGGAAATGCATGATATAGACCACATTATCAGAGCTATGCAGAATTACCAAATAATATTCGTAACTGCACAAGAATTATGAAATACATATACAGATATCTTCAACTTCTAGGGGGATTATATCCCAATAAACCTATCAGAAAAATATTATAAGCCAAAAACGCAGTTAATACACCTAACCTAGCAAACATAGCTTAGCCTAGCCTAACTTAAATGTGCTCAGAACACTTACTATTAGTCTACGGTTTGTCACAATCATCTAACACAAGCCGAATTTCTAATAAATTGCTGAATATCTCATATAATTTATTGAATAACATACTAAAAGTAAAAAACGGAATTGTTGTATGAGTATTCAAAGTATGGTTTCTGCTGAATGGACATTGCTTTTATACCATCATAAAATCAAACCATAGCAAGTTAAGGACTCTGTATAGCTAAGTGAATGTCATGTGTTCTGTACTCATCTTTACCATATTCTTTTCTTGTCCTCTTTCTGTCTGGTCTATAATGACCTCAGCCTCTTTATTTGCAATTGTTCAAGTACAGAATCGTTATCAAGTACATTTCTGAGCATACATGATTTTCTACAATATCAACTTCTAGATAAGTTGCCCATTACAATCAACTGTAATTTCCCTTTTAAGAGGGAGCTCAGCTCTCCTCTGTCTCTGCCATGGTTTACATATTCAATAATATACTAATATATGGGTGTAAAATAGAGGAGATATTCATCTGTTCTGTTTTCCATTAGTAAAAACAATTGAATCTAAACTATAGAAGGTTCTACCACCATCTGCATAAATACATTCAATCTCTATAATATTCCCACAAATCAATACAGTGGTAGTTTAAAAACAGCCTCAAATTTTTTGCTGCCTCTCTCATTGAGAGGTGGATTCAAATGTTTCTTCCTTTGAATCTGGGCTGGCCTTAGTGATTTTCCTGACAAATACAATGTGTCAATTATAGCTACAAGATGATAATGGGCAGGCCGGGCACGGTGGCTCAAGCCTGTAATCCCAGCACTTTGGGAGGCCAAGGTGGGTGGATCACAAGGTCAAGAGATCGAGACCATCCTGGTCAACGTGGTGAAACCTCGTCTCTACTAAAAAATACAAAAAATTAGCTGGGCACGGTGGTGCGTGCCTGTAATCCCAGCTACTCAGGAGGCTGAGGCAGGAGAATTGCCTGAACCCAGGAGGCGGAGGTTGCGGTGAGCCGAGATTGCGCCATTGCACTCCAGCCTGGGTAACAAGAGCGAAACTCTATCTAAAAATAAAAATAAAAAAAAAAAATAAAGATGATAAAGGGCTTCTCAGCTATAAGAAACCTGGCAGCTACCACCTGGACTGATATTGCTCTGGGGGAAAACAACTCTCATGTAAAAATCCATCTGTCTTGAGACATCCATGCTGTGACCAAGCCCAAGCTAGTCACATTGACAGGCTGAATGAAAAAAAGATACCCAGCAACCTCCAACTGTTCCAGTCTTCCCAGCTCAGGCTCAGACATGTGAGGTAAGGAGCTATCTTGGGCATTCCAAAAGGACATATTGTGGAAAGGAACAGAGGAACCCAACTAAGAGTCAGAATCAAGGTCTCAGATATTTGGCCTCAATCAACTCTTCCCAGATATCTCCAGCCATTCAAGTCATGTCAGCTGAGGGCCCAGTCATCATGGAACACAAATGAGTCATCTCTGTTGCACTTTGCACAAAATTCTGACCCATATAACTATAAGCCTAATAAAAATGGTGGTTATTTATACCGCCAAATTTTAGTAACAGCTAGTAAACACCCTCCTTGGGGTTGTATCATCATTTCATAGTGTTTATTAAAGAAGTTTACATTAGCACACATGGTGTTTGCCAGTGCTGTCTTTAGAAAGAAAATCTTGATCAGTAGGAAATTTGTTATAATTTAATAGTACTATATTCTCCAAAGAATAGTAGTCTTTCAATGATATAGAAAAAAGCAAAATGTATATTTTCTGTTTTCACAGGTATCTGAGATGTTATTATTGGGCAGTTCGAACTTTAATTACCATTGGTGGCCTTCCAGAACCACAAACTTTATTTGAAATTGTTTTTCAACTCTTGAATTTTTTTTCTGGAGTTTTTGTGTTCTCCAGTTTAATTGGTCAGGTAAGTTGAGTATGAATCAAAGGATATTCAGTCCTGTCATTTTTGAAAGGCTGATAAGCCTTTATAAACTTTATGGAGGAAAAATTAAAATCTGTCCAGTTTTTTTTTTTGAACTAACTTTCATCTATTTTAATGAGTTGAAGGATGTGATTAGGTCAACAGTGCTTTTCCATTTTTAAGCCATTAAATCTATCAAAAGACCTGTTAGCAAAGAGCATTAGTTTGAACTCTCAGAGAAAGTTGTTTCTAAGTTAATTTTTTACTGGGACCATAATGAAAACCATGAAAATCTCTTTTATTTACTTAAACTTCAAATATTGTTATAACATCACTGGGTTAAAATAAACTTCATAGGTCATTTAAACCAGAGGTTACAAAATACCATATAAAATAATGTTATTATTTCATAAATTTTTACTATAGCATCTCCTTATACATATTCTCAAAAAAGTCCATCTAGTAAGAATTTAAATAAATTATTATATTGAAAGTAGTTGGAACTGAAGAAGTACAGAGCCCGTATTTTTTCCTTTTCTTTTTTTTTTTTGAGACAGGGTCTTGCTCTGTCACCCAAGCTGGGGAGCAGTGGCACGAACATGGCTCACTGCAGCCTTGACCTCCTGGGCTCAAGGGATCCACCCGCCCCAGCCTCCCAAGTAGCTGCAACTACAGTCACACCCCACCATGCCCAGCTAATTTTTTTTGTATGGCAGGTGGATAGTGGCCTAAATGTATGAGCCCATGCGAGAGCCTGATACAGAAGGCAGTTGAGAGTATGGGCTCCAGATTACTTAGTTTACATATGGAAGACACACTCTCAGGAGATTTGGCCACCATCTCTAGTAATTACCCAACACTGGGAGAAACAAGCAAAGCCTTCAGTCATCAAGGCCCCAGATATCAACATATCAAAACATGGAAAATAAAGCAGGTTAAATAAATATGAATGCACAGGAATATGGCAGCCACAGCTTTAACATGTTAATGGACTACAGAGAGGAGTAGTAAAGGAAACTCTATGTTGAAAATATTTTGGTTTAGGAAGATGAACACCAAGAGCTAAAAATTTTAAGTATGAAATATCATTATCTTCATGGCTGGGGAGATTTATTAACAATGATTGAACTAAAAAGCTGGTTTGAGAGAAATTAAATTCAAATCCATTTGAATATAAATAAAAATCACATTATTTTATAGTTTATTGTAAAATCAATGTGAGGTTGTCATATTACAGTCAATACCTTCTCTGTTTTACAGATTAGAAAACTCCAGTTTAAAGAGATTAAGAGGCATCCCTGATTCATACATGTAGTTTGTATGGTCATATGGTAGAACCATATAATAACACTGATAATAACAGTAAAATTTAACATGTATTGAGCACTTACTATGTGCAAGGCAATTTTCACATCAAGACTAAAAAATTATTTTTAGCCCCAGTTCAATTATCTTGCTACTCAAAGTGTAATCTTCAGACTAGCAGCAGCAGCACTTGAGGAATTCACAATTCAGGCCCCACCTCAGACCTACTGAGTCAGAACTTGCATTTTTAACAAGATTGTCAAGGGATTCATAGACACACAAATGTTTGAGAAGTGCTACTTTCTACACCACACCACTTCTGCTTTTAAATTGGATTTGAGGGTCCAATAGGAACAAGAAGGAATATCAAGTCACTGAAAATGTGATAGTAGAGCTCAAGAGAAAGATTGAGGCTAGAGATACAGATGTGTGCCTCAGACTCTCAAAGTGAATACAAGATGCTGAACAGGGGAACAGATAGAAATAAAAGTTTAAAAGCCTGGGACAAAAACATCTCCACTCGTTCAAAATTCCCACATAGAGACTATGACCTAGAACTAATTGTCACCTTCTTTTTTGTTTGTTTTAAGAGACAGGGTCTGGCTCTGTTGCCCAGGCTGGAGTTCAGTGGCTTAATCATAGCTTACTGTAGCCTCAAACTCCCAGGCTCAAGCAATTCTCTTACCTCACCCTTCCAGGCAGCTGGGACTACAGGTGTGTGCCACCACGCCTGGCTAATTCTTTTTTTCTTTTATTTTTTGTAGAAACAGAATCTCACTATGTTGCTCAGGCTGGTCTTGAGCTTCTAGCCTCAAGTGATTCTCCTACCTCATCTCCCAAAATGCTGAGATTACAGACATGAGCTACCTCACCCAGCCAATCATCACATTTTAACTACAATATTCTATTTTCTGAAACAACTCACAGAAACTGACATTTTTCTTCCTCTTATACCCTCATGTCCTTCCCTAGCCTGGAATCCATCATAGGATCCTCCACTCCTTCAACAACAAAAGCCAACGTTGCTGAAGGACATCACACAAACCATTCAAATTATTGTCACTACAAACTATCGGACCCTCAGCAGCTATCAATCATGCTTTTAATAGTCCTTTCTTCCCAACTTAACACTCTGTTAAATCTCCCAACCCCACTCCTAACATACCAAGTCTCCCAGCCTTAGGTAAGTAGGTAATGTCGGTTATCATAGAAAACCCAAACATCATAGAAAAAAACACAAAAACATCATAGAAAAGTGAGATCTAGGATTGAGGTTGTTGAGGAATATTTGGGAAAAAAAAATACAGTAATAGTAAATTTTTACATCTTCTGAGCATTTACAATGTGCAAGGCGATTTTCACATCAAGACTAAAAACCTGTAAGAGATTCAAACGATATATACAGTTAAACTACCTACATAGCTCCTCAGCAGATAGTTTTAATATGTAGAATAATTTACTCACTCTAAAAATGGGAACTGAGGAGGGCATCATGATTTTTTTAAAAAGGCATTTGAACTAGACTTCAAAGAATGAGTCGTTTTTCCATAAGCAGAAAAGGCTCAACAGCTACTAAAATGAATGAGCAAAGTCTTAGGAGTGTGAAAGTGAGGCCCTGGTTTTCCTCCCTATTAAAAACCCACAGTCAAAGCATATTTACAGCCACTTGCTTCCTTCTATGTGCTAGGAAGAGTGGAGCTATATATCTTTTTTGTGCTGAGCCCTTAAAGATCAGCTTTTAACCTAGAGTGGGTTTTTATGGGTGAGTTATAAACATCCAAGAACTAAAACCTGACAGTTTCTTAAGAATTGTCGCAGCAGTAGATGATGCTTCAGTAATTTCAGCACATTTCAACTTCTGCTGAATACTATGCCTTAAGCATGATGAGATTTGATTTTTATCTGTCTAAACAACACTAAGGGAAGTACAGAGGTTGCAATTTCATGATGAATTGAGTCTATATAGCCAGCCACACTGGATAATCTATGAAGGATGCTTTCAAAGTAAGACTCACCAAAATGGACCAGCCATTCTGCCAGACAATTGCTCAACTTTTATTGCACATTCCTTGCATAAGCACAGCTGTATATTTTTTTTCAATATATACTAACATTCCTGCAGTAAAATACAAGTTTGCAAAGAAAATGATGTGTCTTATGCATTGTATGACTGAATTCTCACTTGATTTGTCCTAAAGGTCTTATTGTTGTCCTTATTGAGTCCGAGAGAGAATGTGATTTGCCCAATATTTTATTGAGGTGGGTGATATCAGGACCCAATATCAGTGTGCTTAAAATAAAGTAATCCACTGCTGAAAAGTTAAGTCTGGGCAAGATTAAATAAAATAAAAATGAATAAACAAAACCAAGTAATCAGGGCCTTAGAAGGGAGTATATCATGTAAAAAATATGTAATTTGACTTTTATTAACTCTCCCAGTTCTTCTGTTGGGTGTTGAGTGACCATATTTGTGGTTTTAGATGAGAGATGTGATTGGGGCAGCTACAGCCAATCAGAACTACTTCCGCGCCTGCATGGATGATACTATTGCCTACATGAACAATTACTCCATTCCTAAACTTGTGCAAAAGCGAGTTCGGACTTGGTATGAATATACATGGGCCTCTCAACGAATGCTAGGTAAGCACGGCAGATTACTGATTAAATTCCTGAAAAGCTTGTCATATAATGGAAATTCTGTAAGGTAGCAGAGACTAATTGGATTTGAACAAAAGGTTGAAAAACAATTAAATGATCCTTAAAGCATTAGTTTAATACAATAGGAGTTTTTTTCCTTAAATATAAAGCCATATCTTACTAGTTTTGAAAACCTTGAAAGAGAAAAAGGCTAACTTTTATTTAGCATCTACTGGATGCTGGGTATTACACACATTGTCTCATATAGTCACACATACAGAAAACCAAGTAGGAAAAGTAGGCACTGTCTAACCCTTTTAAAAGAAGAAAATGGAGGCTCCTAACTGGGAAATTGGACCAAGGACACAGAGCCAGCACATGGTCTAACTAGAACTCAGACCTGCATCTCTTCTCTTCCAAACCCTGGCTCTTACTGCAATATCCCTCTGTTACCCAGAACACAGTACAGATGACGCTTGAACAAGTGAGGGTTTAGGAGGCCAACCCTCACTCCACAGTCAGAAATCCACATGTAACTTTTGGGGCTGGGCATGGTGGCTCACTCCTGTAATCTCAGTATTTTGGGAAGCTGAGGCAAGGGGATCGCTTGGGGTCAGGAGTTTGAGACCAGTCTGGCCAACATGGTGAAACTCCATCTCTACTAAAAATACAAAAATTAGTAGTGTGTGGTACACACCACTACATTCCAGCCTAGGCAACAGAGCCAGACTCTGTCTTAAAATAAAATAAAATAAAATAGAAAGAAAGAAATTCACATATACATTTTGACTCCCCCAAAACCGAACTACTAAAGCCTACTGTTGACTGGAAGCCTTACTGATAACATCCACGGTCAATTAACACATATTTTATATGTTATCTGTATTATATACCATATTCTTACAATAAACTGGATAAAAGAATCTGTTAAGAAAATTATAAGGAAAAGAACTATATTCACTAGTAATTAAGTGAAAGTAGATCATCACAAAGTCTTCATCCTCCTCATCTTCACTGTTGAGTAGGCTGAGGAGGAAGAGATAAAGGAGTTGGTTTTGCTCTCAGGTGTAGCAGAGGTGGAAGAGAATCCTTGTTTAAGTGGACCTGTGCAGTTCACACTCACGTTGTTCAAGGGTCAACTGTACTAATAGAAAGCAGCAACTTTGCAAGCCACTCCCATCCCACCTCAGGGCACACAGTTGCTTCCATGAGATGCTAAATAATTAATGGTGTCTACAACTATACCACTCTACTACTGTGGTTTAAAATAACTGTTACTGAGGGACATAAAATAAGTTCAAGATAATGCACTCCTACTTGAAAATATTCACTCAACTTTTAGTTTGTTCTTACCATATGAAAATAGGAATTAGTACCACTAAGAAGCCAAAAATGCCCCAGAGTACAAATTACAATGAAATTCACAATTCACAAAGCTTCCTAAGAGCAGAAAGAAACCACTGGTTATTATAGTAGGATCTTTTCTTCACCTTTCTGACACTCATAAGAGACTCCAGCCTCGTGTTTAGAATTTCTTCCTGAATGACCAAAACAATATGCCTCCCTCTAGAACATCTGCAGCTACTTGAGGGCATCTGAAGTAGGCAGGAAGAGCCACAAAAGGAGTGGTGCCAGGCTTCTTTTCTCATAGCCCTTGGTGGGTTGATTCAACTCCTTGGCTTAGGAGGTAACTAGAGACAAGCAGCTCTCGGAAACAATAAACTCTGTTCATATATGAAGGTTGTTCATATTTAGAATCTATATTTGAAACAAAATAGGGATGTCATACTGTAATTTTTTTCTAAATAATAAAAGAAAACATCAAAAAATAATCAACTCAGAAACCCAGGGCATTCTGAACACCAAGAATAGGGAATTTTCTGGAGGGAAACAAACAGACCCTGAGCCTATCATAGGGTGGGCAGAGGGAGAGGATCAGGAAAAATGAGAGGGTACTAGTCTTAATACCTGGGGGATGAAATAATCTGTACAACAAACCCCCACAGCATGAATTTACCTATACAACAAACTTGCACATGTACCCCTGAACTTAAAATACAAGGTTTTTAAAACAGTGGGGGGAGAATAGGCAATTTTGTTTATGGAATGTTTTATCAGCCTGAAAGCCCATCACTTAATTCACATGTAGAAAAATCTGTAATATATTCACATTCTTCATTGAGTTAATAAGCAAGTAAATAACAATAATTTGAATTTACTCTCTTAGCACATTTCTTCTTTAGATTCCATCCCAGCTGAACCACCAATAATTATGCACAATGGAGCAAGTCACTTACAGCTTCTCGGGGCTTCAATTCTTTGTGTTTTTCTTCTTTCTGCAAAATAGGAATGAGAACACTTACCCTTAGGGCTGTCACAAGGGTCAAATAAGATAATGGCTATGACAGAGCTCTGTAAGCTCTCCAGTGCCACATGGTGCTCGTTATTGTTTGCCATCCCTTGAATGCTAAGGCTGGAATCAACAGAATCAGAAAACAAGAACTAGATCCTTCGCCCATGCTAACTTGTTCACTAGCCTTTGTGCTGTGATCATTACATTTCATATCTAAAGTTTCAGCAAGCCTAATGTTCTGGAATTATTCAGTATGTCATCCCGAGTTAAAAATATGTCTTTTCTTGCATAAGCATAATAGTGTTATTGTAATAGGTATGGAGGTGCAATCGAAGTAATGAAAATATAGAATCTGATGCATCTAATTACGTATAAAGTGTTTCCATTTTGTTTCCTTTATTTTTAAAATGTTTCTACTTGTTCCTTTGTGACTTATTTTATTAATAATTCTGCATCGGGGTTTGATGTGTTTATCTGCACAAAGATGAGTCCGATTTGCTTAAGACCCTGCCGACTACAGTCCAGTTAGCCCTGGCCATTGATGTGAACTTCAGTATCATCAGCAAAGTCGACTTGTTCAAGGCAAGTGCTTTTACAATTCATAGAAAGATGCTGCATCTATTTCTCAGTGACATCTAAGCTCTTGATTTGATACGGCATTTATGGGGGTTTTGCCTTATGTTTTAACAAAGTCAAAATAACCTAGAGAATTTATGTGGAATTAAGGAGTCAAATAAATTACAGGTCTCTCTTCAGCAGATGACTTATTCTTTAGAAGCCTCTCTCTCTTCTAATTGGTGTCAAAAACGAAGAGTTCTTCAGACTCTTCTTGCATTAATTTAAATATAATGTAAATTATATGGCTCTATATCTTTGCTAGTACACGTATCACCAACCATCTATAAATGTGACTTGGCAATGCACAACAAATCAGACTCCAGATTAGCTCTGTAATGCCCTGACAATCAGAGAATTATATCTAATCATGTCTTCTATTACAAATACTTTGGATTTAGACTCTTAAACTGGTCAAATTTTACTTTAGAAGATTTTTGTTTATGAAAAAAAGTATAACAAATAATTTTTTAACTTTTTGAATGTTTTAAGTATTACTACTCTTTTTCTGCATTATATCACATGTAAACTTTTTTTTTTTTTTTTTTTTTTTTTTTTAATTTAGATGGAGTTTCACTCCTGTTGCCCAGGCTGGAGTGCAATGGAGCAATCTCTGCTCACCGCAACCTCCACCTCCTGGGTTCAAGTGATTCTCCTGCCTCAGCCTCCCAAGTAGCTGGGATTACAGGCTTGTACCACCATGCACAGCTAATTTTGTATTTTTTAGTAGAGACAGGGTTTCTCCATGGTGGTCAGGCTGGTCTCAAACTCCCAACCCCAAGTGATATACCCACCTCGACCTCCCAAAGTGCTGGGATTATAGGCATGAGCCACCGTGCCTGGCCATATATCACACATACATTTTTCTCAACTAATATTTCCTTCCGTGTATAGCATTCACTGACTCATCCATTCAATTAATTCATTCAACAAGTATTTATGAAGTTCCCACCATGTTCCAGGCACCATTTTAGCCACCACGAATTTAACAGTTGAAAACAAATACTCATACAAGTGTAACTTAAATTCCAGAAGAAGAGAATGAAAAAATAAACCTAACGTGTGGAGGTGTTAATGCCATGAGCAAAGTTAAGCAGGTTGTATGGGCTATTCTCGCATTGCTATAAAAAATACCTGAGACCGGGTAATTCATAAGGAAAAGATATTTATTTGGTCATCGTTCTGCAGGCTGTACAGGAAGCATGGCAGCATCTGCTAAGCTTTTACTCATGGCAAAGGGCAAAGCAGGAGCAGGACCAAGATGGGCAGGGTCAGTGTCACACACTTTTAAACAGCCAGATATGAGAAGTCACTGAGGAAGGACAGTACCAAAGTCACTGAGGTGCCAAACCACTCATGGGAAATCCACCCCTGTGATTTAATTACCTCCCACCAGCTCCCATATCCAACACTGGGGATTGCAATTCAGCAAAATACTTGGTGGGGACACAGATCCAAACCATGTCACAGGTTAAGGAGTATGAGGGTGGCACTGGTCAGGAAAGTCCTCTCTGATTAAATGCATTTGAACACTTAAGAAGAGGGCTGCAAGAAGTAAGAGAGCAAGCTACGCAGATATTGGGAGAGGAGAGAGAGGAATGAGGACAGGAGGGAATATTATGGGAGGATGGATAACACGATGTGCTGAGCTGGAAACACACTGCAAGGAAGCCAGAGTGACTGGAGCAAAGGCAGAGTGCTGGAAAGCAAGAGCAGCCAGAGAAGAGTGAAAAAAAAGGGAGGCTGAGGCAGGCAGCAGTTAATGGAGGGCCTTGGAGGATCTATAGACTTTTTGTTTATTTGAGAGACAGGGTCTTGCTCTGTTGTCCAGGCTGGAGTACAGTGGCACAATCTCTCAGCCCACTGCAACTTCTGCCTCCTGAGTCCAAGCAATTCTCCTGCCTCAGTCTCCCAAGTAGATGGGACTACAGGCATGCACCACCACACCCAACTAATTTTTGTATTTTTAGTAGAGACGGGATTTCATAATGCTGGCCAGGCTGGTGTTGAACTTCTGACTTCAAGCTATCTGCCTGCCTCAGCCTCCCAAAGTGCTGGAATTACAGGCATAAGCCACTGAGCCCAGTCATCTATGGACTTTAGATTATACTCTGAGTTGCAAAACACTAAGGCTCTTGAGCAGAAAGCGACCTATTCAAGACCAGTTTGAACACGATCTGTCCTACTGTGTGAAGAAAAGTCCTTAGGAAGCAAATGTGGAAGGCAGAGAGGCCAAATGGAAGTTATCACAACCACGTGTGGAAGAGATAACAGTGACCAGAACCAGGGATATTGAAGCAGAGTTTTTGAGAAGTGGCCAGTTACTGGGTGTATTCAAATCGAAAAAGCCCTGCTTTTCCTGTTTGATTATATGGAGAGGGTAAGAGACAGAAAGGGACCAAAGATGACTCCAGGGATTTAGTTCTGAGGAAGAACAAAGATAGCATTTGCAAGTTGAGTGGGCTGGAAACCACTCTTTGTCTTTGGATGTTGCTATGACTTGAATAATGATGTCCTCTCCAAAAATCATATGGAAACTCAATCCCTAATGCAACAGCAGGAAGACATATGGCCTTTTGGGAAGTGACTGAGTCTTGAGGGTTCCACCCTCCTGAATGGGTTTAGCACCATTATAAAAGGTCTCAGGGTGAAGAAAGGACTTTCTTGCCCTTCTGCTCTTCCACTATGTGAGGACACAGTGTTCCTCCCATCTGGAGGAGGCAGCAACTAGGCACCATCTTGGAAGGAAAAGCAGCCCTCACCAGACATCAAACCTGCTAATGCCTTGTTCTTGGACTTCACAAACTTTAGAAATGTGAGAAATAAATTTCCATTATTTATAAATTACCCAGTCTGTCATGTTCTTTTAATATCAGCACAAAAACAGATGTGACTATAAGATTCCAGTTGAAAATTTCATGTAGGCAGTTTGGTTTATAAATCTGAGTTCAGTGGAGAGATCCAAGCTGGAGCAATACACATGGACCTGTCAGCATGTTGGTGTATTTCAAGCCAAGGGACTCAATGTGATCACTTAAGATGTAAGTATAGACAGAAAAATAAATGTAATCCAGACAGAAGGATATGTCTTAAAAATAAGGACTCAGTAATATTAGAAACCAGATGAAGAAGCAGAAGCTGTGTGGTAGAATGGTTAGACACAGTCACCCCCAGCGTTAGGTTAACCCATGACTCTGTAAGTTATTAGAGTTAAGTTGGTATTCTAGGACTCTTTTCTTAACTATGTCCTGTGCTAGATTTCTGTCAATATTTTGATGATCATATAAAAGATGTGATTTTCAAATTGGCAGATAACACAAAGGAAGGAGGAATAGACTAAAATACGTTAATTACAACATTTAAAATTACTGAATACTTTGAAATGACAAGCAAAGCCAACAAAATTAACTTCAACAAGCATAAAAGTAAAATTCTAGGCCAGGCGTGGTGGCTCAAGCCTGTAATCCCAGCACTTTAGGAGGCCGAGGCGGAGGATCACGAGGTCAAGAGATGGAGACCATCCTGGTCAACATGTGAAACCCCGTCTCTACTAAAAATACAAAAAATTAGCTGGGCACGGTGGCGCGTGCCTGTAATCCCAGCTACTCAGGAGGCTGAGGCAGGAGAATTGCCTGAACCCAGGAGGCGGAGGTTGTGGTTAGCCGAGATTGCGCCATTGCACTCCAGCCTGGGTAACAAGAGCAAGACCCATCTCAAAAAAAAAAAAAAAAGTAAAATTCTAAACTTAGGTCCAAAATGAAAATATACAGGCCAGGTACCAGTAATCCCAGCACTTTGGGAGGTGGAGGCAGGGTGATAGCTTGAGCTCAGGTGCTCAAGACCAACCTGGACAACTTAGCAAGACCCTATTTCTAAAAAAAAAAAAAAAAAAAAAACTTAGCTGAATATGGTGGTACACACCTGTTGTCCCAGATACTCGGGAGGCTGAGCCAGGAAGATTCCTTGAGCCCAGGAGTTTGAAGCTACAGTGAGCCAGGATGGCACCACCATACCCAGCCTTGGTGACAGAGCAAAACCCTGACTCAAATATACATATACATATATATTCAAATATACATATATACATATATATATAAAGAGAGAGAGAGCAAGAGAGAGAGAGAGAGCTATATCTATATAACAAATGCAAAAGTGCAATAGTTTATCACACTTCTTTTTAGATAGGAGTTTTACTTGATCTCCAACTCCACGAGTCAGTAGAATTGTATATGGGATTCACCTACATTTTAACACAATATCAGTTTTCTTAATTATTTAAACTATGTTTGGATTAAATATCACATTTCAAATAACCAATTTAAGAAGGATTTTAACAAACTAGAATATATTCTGGCTAAGGGGTTAAGAGGAGGGGTTGAATTATGGACCAAGAATAGTAAAAGAGTAATCTCATAAAGTTATTCTGTGATGGTAGAAATCAGATTAAAGACTGCTGCTGGTGGTGAATGGGGATGAGGAGATTGATTAGTAAGGAGCATGAAGGGACTTTGTGGCATGATGGAAATGTTTTTTGTCTTGCTGGGGAAGGTATATAAGTGTATGCATTTATCAAAATTGATCCAACCGTCCCTTAAGATCAGTATATTTCATTTTATGTAAATTATTGCTCCATTTTCAAAGAAGAAGAAGAATGGCCTCGAAAGAAAATGTTTAGATGCTGAGAATATTTAGTTGTGAGAAAAATAAATCAATTCAAGGGCAGTAGAAGTTTCATATAGTAAAGTCTGTTACATGAACAAGGAATGAGACTTACTCTACCTTGTTCTGCAAAACAACACTCAACTGTAAACTCCATTTCTAAGTTGCAGACACCTCTACTGCATATAAATGTGTCTGTTGTATACACACACACACACACACACACACACACACGCCATGGAATACAATTCAGCCTTAAAATGGAACAAAGTAATGGCATTTGAAGCCACATTGAAGGAGTTGGAGAC